GTTCAGAGAGTTGTTGCTATTCCTTTCTTCGATCTCCTGTTGAGTTTGTAGGTGTTCAGAATGGTTTGATCCCTATCCAGCTGAATTCCTGAGAGGAGATGAAATCCAGGTCTCCTACTCCTCCGCCATCTTGCTCCGCCCCCTGGTCCAGTTACTCTTAATCCGATTATTTTTATTCTTTATTTCTTATTTGAAGCAAGAAAAATGTCCAGCCTTAGTCCACCAATAATCTTCACCCTTCCCAATCATACTCTTATAAATGTAATATAATTTTATCGAGTTTAATATTTTTAAAAAAAAACTAATATTATTTATTTTCCAGAAATTATTATTTGCCTTCAGTACCTTATTTTAAGTCATAATCATAACAGGCATTATACTTTACTCCTTTACTACTGTGAAATTTTCTTCTTGAGTCCTATGTTTTGATTAATTTCTTAAAGATTAATGTTTGTCCCATTGGTAAAACCTATCTTGTTGACAGAAAATGGCAGTTCCCAGAGGGCTAACTGTACCTTCAACTCTTTTCCACCCCAGAAAGCATAATGAGAATACAAATTATTTTAGTAATGCCAGAACAACTAGAAGTTACTTCCTTTTTTTTTTTTTTTTTGAGCCTTGGAATTATAAACACCCTACTCTATCTATTGATGTTGTTTTTCATTGATTCTGTCTAAAATAACAATTTTGATTAATTGCATATTTGTTCTCTATTTCCCTTCTTCCCTCTCTCTTCTCGCACTTCTCTCTCTCCTTTCTCCCCCATCATCATTCCTCTCTCTGATTTATCTAATCATATTTCCTTCATATTTTGAATTTCTGATATTTACTCTTTATAAGAAACCAAAGAAAAAAAATTTTCTCCAGCCAATAATAGTTCTGTACGACCTGCAAATGAATATTAATTGTTTTTCTGCTTCAATTTCTTCCTTATTTCTGCTATCTCGTTGTTAATGGTTGCCTCTGACAAAGCCATCCTTTTGTTTTGACTCTGCTGTTATTTCATAGAAATCACTCCTATTTGCATCTTTTTCTTAACAAATCAAGCAGATTTTAGTATATGTCTTTCTGATATTATTAGTAGGTCATTGTAAATGTTGTGTCTGTCCAGCACTAGCGTTTGGTGCTTCTATAAGGTGGCCCAAAGCCCTTAATATTGCTATCTGCTTTCAGGGACAGCTGCTTCCTCCTCCATAGAATGAAACTCCAGGTCATTTAGATGGGACTACACCTCACTTTAAATGTGACACTTAACACATTTCTATGTAATAGAAGTGTTCTGGGAAAATTTTGGTACTTTCCTTCTCTGATTATCTGACATAACTAGAGATTTGGAGTTTTTCTCTGAATAGGTTACACAACAGTGATAAAAGCTACATACCCATCCCAAATCTCCTAACTATGTTTCCTGTTTGGGATTTTCTTGCTTGAATTTTGGGGTTGAGAATAAAACAGATATATTTCCTTCTATATTTTTTATTTACAAATCAAGATTTTATTCACACAGCCTTGTATTTGGATCATAGCTACTGATTTTTCCTGTCAATAAAGTGAATTTCACTTACGATTAGGTTTAGAAGATTGGAATTAATAAGGCAGGAAAGTTAAGAACATGAGTGCTTAATTCAAGAATGTGCTTGTCACTCCCTCCCCATCAATTAAGATATAATCTAGAAATTTTGCTAGCCTCTTCATCAAGGCACTGTGGTGTAGTAAAGAACAAAAAAATTGAATCAAAGAGACTTGAGTTCTAGAGTTGGCTCTGAATATATTTGCTATATGACTTTAGACCTTAATGACCTTCAATTTATTCTTTTTCTCTCTCATAGAAATGTGTATTTTTATACTAGAAAATCATGTAAGTACTTAGAGTATTAACACTCAATCCTCGCTATTATTAACTAACACTGGTTATATAATGTTGTGCATCTTGATGTATACTTTAATGGAACATTTGAAGAAGACTTTATACATATGCCTAGTGGATCACCATTTTAAGAGAGGAGCTAGGAGTCATGTATAATGGTATGCTTTAATTTATTTCAGTGTCATAATGCTGTATCATGTTCAAATGAAACAATTTTACAAGTGGTCAGATAAATTCAGTCAAGTATGAGAATATGAGTTGAGGTTTCTCCTTAAAGTAGTGAATGAATAAATGTGATATATTTTTAACAATCTTGTATAAACATTAACTTTCATCAATAGGTATTTATTGGAATTATGATTAAGTTTATAATGGATTAGCTGGAGGAAATAAATGTAGAAGATTCAAAACCTGTGAATACATATTATATTCCACCTCCAGTATTTTGAATTGTGAGTGTATATATGTGTAGAGGTTAATATGTGTGTGTGTGTGTGTGTGTGTTTGTATATATATGTGTATGTAGGTGTGTGTGCATATATCTACATTATATATATATATATATATACACATATATATATATCAAATATCCACTGTGTATAGTGGGGGAAAGCTGAGAAAGGAGTTGTAAAAAAGTTTAAGTTTTTGAAAATGAATAATTCTGAGAGAAATTAATTAAAATATATATTGCTTGTCAGGAGAAAAGCAACAGTAAATGCTTTAACTTAAATATAACTCAATATGCTTTAAGGCTTTGTGGATGCATTTAATGTGAAGGCAAGCATGTGAAATCATGTTTTGTACACATTATATTTGTAGAGGTTTTATTTTTGCAGTTGGGTAAATCAGTTGTGATTATTATAGTTTATTGCTATATTTGCCAGAGTTGACATAGTACTAGATTATAATGGAATTAGTTTCTTCCAAGCCTTATGGTTGAAATCCCAGTAGCCATTATAGATATATACTGAGCCCTTTTAGACTGTTGATGAAGAAGCTATGTGGGTTGCATCATCACAATCAGTGATAAATATGAAATATGGTAATAATTTTTTATTGAAAATTCTTTATTAAAATGACTAATGTATACACACATATATTTGTGTATGTACGCATAAAAATTCATGTGCATAGTAATACATACTAGCTTTCGTCTAAATATTAAGAACATGTGGAAGTCCCAGTGAAGAAATATTCAGGGACATACCTCCTGTCACAGTCCCAGATCCTGTAAAGGTGAACCCTCTGGGGCTGGCTGGGGAGAGGAGGAAAGTTTATTGCAGAAGGAACTGTCTGAGGGAGCATAGGATTTCTAGACATGGGAAAGAGAGAAATAATCATTTCTTGAGAATCAGTTAGTTTTTTTTCATCTGAACAAAGAACAAGACAAATATATCACAACTCTCAGAAGACATCAAAAAGGGAATTTTCTAGCTGCTCAAATTAGCATAGGATCATTTCAGCTTTTCCAGATAAAGTTTCATTTTTTTAAAGATTTTATTTATTTATTTATTTATTTATTTATTTATTTATTTATTTATTTAGAGCATGCTAGTGGGGGGAGGGGCAGAAGGAGAGGGAGATGGAGAGAGAATCTCCAGCCAACTCCTCACTGAGCCTGGAGCTTAATGTGGGGCTCGATCCCAGGACCTTGAGATCATGATCCGAGCCAAAATCAACAGTCAGATGCCTAACTGACTGAGCCACCCAGGCACCCCCCAAATAAAGTTTTATTTTAACTTTCAAATAAAAAAGAACATATTGAAGGCATATGATGTAATATATATATATATATACATATATATATATATATTTTTTTTTTTTTGCTAGCCACCCAGGTGCTCCAAAACTCTTTTATTTGGAATAAAAAAATAGATGGACACTGTAATAAGAGTTTCGTATTAAGTACACCTTGAACATATGATGTAATATTATTCCATCTCCCCAACCCAACTACCTATACACAGTCTATTTTTCCAGTTTGTCTCATATTTTTATGATATCAAATTACCTCTGATACTGTTCTAGGTTTGAATGTATTTTCATAAATTTTTTTGAATGTTTAAACCTACCCATGTCTCATGAAAATTAATGCCAAATACTCATTTACTCCAAGTCAGACACAATAACTGTGAATTTTCCAGTAATTTTTCACTTTGGCTGAAAAAGATGCTAAAATCAAGGAGTTGGTTAGTAATTTAGCTATCTTTGTATCTCATAATGAACATAATGACACAAATTGCTTTAAATATGACTATGAAAAATCACTCTAGTGATGTAAACCGTGTAGAGGAGAATAGCTTCAGGTTAGAGAAATAATGATTTCTCATGACTTATGAGAAAGTCAAAAGCAGTAATAAAATCTTAGAAGGAAAATCACAGGCAGACAGGGGACCCTATGAGGAGTGAGGCAGCCAGGTTGGTGTGGCTCATAAAGATGTTTCTCCATGGGGATTATTGATGACAATAACTCTTTGTTATAGCATATCGATTTCTAGCGTATCTATCCCTTGAGTCCTGTAGCCAGGAAAGGAAACAGTTTACATTATAATTGTCATGATGACAAATATAAACAACAACAACAAAAAACAGGTTCTTAATAGCTTCTAGGGGGAAAACTTCTTTTTTACATGGTGACCATGAGTGTGCACTTTTTCTGTAAACTCAGCTCTCACTCACAGCGGGAGGAAAGAAATAAGTGAACGTAATACGGCATTTGGTGTGGATAGAGATCAATGAGGCTACCTCATATCCAGCAATATTGTCAGTATGATACCTAAAAAAGAAGTTTTGTTTTCAAACTGCTAATTCTACAACTCAACTATTGGGCACAAAGTCAAACACCAATGGTTAAAGAAGCTGTGATCCAAAGAAAATCTCTGGAGAATATATGTATCACTAACCATGCCTTGTCATCCTTCTGTTATTCAGTAAAAAGATTTTGTCAGGGATATCCAATTTCTAGAAGATCCCTTAATAAGAAATTCAAAAATTAAGTTATATAGTCCCCAAGTTGACACTGATATCAATAGTGTCAGTATTGAACATATAAAAGGAAGCCAAAAATTGAACCAAATAAACAAATCATGACTCCACCATTTCAATGGTGGGTAATATTGACTCAGAAGAAGAGAAAATCATTTCAATCAATATTTGGTTAGGTTTCATTGCCTTTTTTTTTTTTTTTTACTTTTATTGATATTATGGAAAAAACAAGTAAAATGTTAGGTTCCTTTATTGCTCATAAAATTCAAACTGAAAGCAAAGGCTACCAAAGAAACACAATCCCCCCATCTGGTCTTGATACACAATTAGTGAGTAAATAAGAGGAGAGAATCCATACATACTCCATCCCTGCCATATTACCTTTCACTTGGTGAGAATGCTATGAGATTAAACTCAAATAGAGCTACAACTATACTTACTTACCTCAGTTTGAGTTTGAAGAAGATGTTGAGCAGAGTTGTATCATTGTAATGGAAATGACAGAGGGTTTAGAAACAGGAGCGTGGGAAAGAGGGGACTAATTAGTTATGAATCAGACAATTAAGTCTTGGTTTCTTCCTACTGTTTAATTTGAGTGTTACTTAAAACACTTGAACTTCAATCTGATACACTCTAAATTAGGGAAAATAATGAGGCTGATAATCCCTACCTAATCGGGTTGTGAGAAATAACTGAAAATGTAAAAATTAAGTACCTAATGTAGAATGTACCTTTCAGAAATGGGGAGTTTCTCTTTTGCGATTGTGGTTGGTTTTAATTTGTTATTGCTAGGAATACTTTAAGTTCCATATCTTTTCTAGATGAATGAAAACGTACATGTCATAAAACCTGATTTTTGCTTTCCTCCTTTATAAAATAATAATTGCATCATCTGGCTTACCTAAGAATCTCAATGTAAATGAGATTTTTAACTTTAAAAACAATGTTACTAGATATGTTTATTTTTATCATTATTATTATACTAAATGAGCTAATATAGTTTAACTAAATTCAAGACAGCAATTCTTAAGTTCAACATCAGATTCATTCATTCATTCATTCATTCATTCACGAGATAGTTTTGAGCACCTACTCTGTGCTAGCATTGATCTACATGCATTGATCCATAGATCTTAACAGTCCTAATAGGAGAAAAATGTACTAAGTTAGTAAATATATTCATAAGTAAGATAAAGATAAGGTAAATTCATAAATATTCATAAATAAGATAAATAAGTAATTTTAAGTTTTGTGAAGAAAATAAAATAAGATGATGTAATATTGGAGTGGGATGGTATGTTTGCTGGAAAAGATGACATTTCAAGATGGAATTGAATGTTCAGAAGGAGCAAGTCATGCAAGCATTAGGTGAATATCTGTCTAGACAGAGGGTTTAACAAGTGTACAACCCTAAGGAAAATTATGTTTGGCCCTTTTCAGGAGCAGAAATCTGTTTATGTTTTGTGAATGACTGCTTTTGCAGTAATAAAGACCACATGGTTCACAATGCCTAAAATGTTTACTATATGACTCTTTACAGAAAAAGTTTGTAAACCCCTAATCTAGCACAAGTGCTTTCTGGAGTGATATAAGAAGTATGCACTAAAAACATAACCGTTTATCTGCTCATGAACTGTGGTTCAGGAATTAAAGCAAACCCTTTCTTCTATTCCACATGGCATGGGCTTAGATTATTCACTCATATATATTCAGCTGGTATTTGGGTAGATTTGGAAGATTCAAGAAAACTCTTTGCTCATTTGCTCTTTGTGTTTGGTGCCTCAGTGTTTTTCCACAAGATCTCTCTCTCTTTCTTTCCCCTTCTTTCTTCTCTCTTCTCTTCTCCCCTTCCCCATCCTCATCTCCCTTCTCCCCAACCACTCTTCCATCCTCTTTTCGCTTCTCCCCTCCCTCTGTCCTCATTTTCCTTCTCCTCTCCACACTCTCCTTTTTTCCCCTCTCTTGCCTTTTCTTGTCAGTCTTCTCTTCCTCCCCGCCCCATCCCCTCTTCTCTTTTCTTGTCTCCTCTTCTCTGCCTCCACAATGGCTATATTGGCCTTTTGTTCACTCGACCCCCAAACAGTCTGTTAGTCTTAGGGAATTCACACTTCTTATATACCAGCTGCTTCAGGGAAGGGCCCTTCCAAGAGTCAGAGTCAGAAGCTTCAGATTTTTAAGTCCAGGACTCAGTTGTCATACAGAATGACTTCTGCCACTTTTTGTTGCTCAAAATAGATCACAGAGCTAGCCCATATCTAAGGGGACAAGAAAAAGACTTGACTCTTCGTGGGGAAGTGCCAAGGTCACACTGAGAAGCACCATTTTTGATGGGAAATATTGTTGCGACAATCTTTAGAATCACAGTCTGCCAGAAGTGTACTTAGTGACACAATCAGTTTATATTCTGTCACAGCTCATCATCTCATCACATCGTGGTAACTAAAAGTTTATAGGAAGTTCACCAGTCTGAGGAACACATTGAGAAGCACTGACCTGGGTTCTAGAACACCACACAGAACCTTCAGGCTTCTTTTGATGGTCTTAATAAGATATTGTAATATATTCATTTTATGTTGGATTATATAATTATACATAGAAATAATTCTAGAAAGGAGTTTGTAAATAAATACGCAAAAATCACATTCCTGAAATATAATTTTCCCAAATGAAATACGATCGGAATTTGTCTTTATTTAATCAAATGCTTAATACTTCAAGGTCTGGATACAATTCATGAAAACAATCCTTTTTCGCCTTATAAAATTATGCCTCGCCAAGGGGCACTTGGATGGTTCAGTCAGTTGAGTGTCTGCCTTCTGCTCAGGCCATGCTGCGTCAGGCTCCCTGCCCTGTGGGGGGGCTGCTTCTCTCTCTCCCTCTGCCTGCAACTCCCCCTGCTTGTGCCCTCTCTGTCAAATAAATAAATAAAGTATTTAAAAAATATTTCTGTCCTTTCATAAAATTTGGCCTAATTCTTACCAGATGATATAAAATCTGACTAAAAGAGGCTGTTTTTCTGTACAAGGAAAGTGTCTTAGGTTTAGCTATAATTGCCAAAGGTCCAGGTCATGATTTCTCAAGTAATTTCAAGGCTCTCAATATCTGAGAAAACATATCCCATGAAGGGAAGGATTTTCATTCATTATAACCTGAAAGTATGAAAATACATTGAGTTCTTAAAGTGATCAACTAGGTTTTTTTTTTCTATATTTCTGTGTGATGTGGGATGTTAGGAATTTTCCATTATTTTGTGGACTTCTGCAAGATCTCTTTTAAAGAGGTGATTCATGGGTGCCTGGGTGGCTCAGTTGGTTAAG